GAAATTTCCCAGATACCCAGGCATTTGGGAAATTTGCCAGATACCCAGGCATTTCCCAAATTCCCCAAATTCCAATAGGTATTTGAGGGTGGTATATTTTTAAGATTTTGGAAATTTCTCAAATGCCTGGGTACTTGAGAAATTTCACAGATACCCAGGCATTTGGGAAATTCCTATTTTTGACATTTTTGATAATTGCTGTCACTCCCTCTTTAACTCAAATCACTACACCTTATACCTCGCTTTTTGTTTGTTTTGATACAAAAAGCTTCTCAATGGCACTTAATAGGAAGAAAACATAATGCAAAATGAGGGAGGGGGTGCAGAGGCACCATGATCCCCACAAAAATGACCTCCAAGCCTCCAGATTTGCAAAAGGACTTCCAGGCCCAGCGAAACTGTCTCCCAGCCTCAGCGACGTCATCAAGCCTCCCGCCATTCTGTCTCCACGCCCCGCATTTTGGCGCTAATAAAAAAATATTGCACCCCCTCCCTCCCAAAACTGGCAAAATATCTATTCTAATAAACTATAATGTGAAATAAGTCTAAAATCTAGTTTTTAGTTGTTAGAAATTCATTTAGACCCTTTTTAAGTTATTCAGGTAAAAAATGTCGCCCCCAGCACCCCCTGATTAATTACCTATACAAGGCATTTATAAAATTTGTGCCCCCCTCTCCTTTAAAAAATCTTACAGCATTGTTGACATGTTATTTTATTGTTTTTATTTATGGTCTGTCAAACCGTTTTTGACCACTTTGTTTTTTCCGTAAAACCTTTTATCTTCAGATTCATTAATAACAAATTCAAACTTGTAATTAAATAGTAATGTGAATTACGTTTATTCTAAACATTTGCTTTTCTTACACAATGACAAATTTTGACAGAAAAAAGATTTAAAACGATGAAAAAACTAACGTGTAATAGCGATCGCTTTTGATTTTACTTTTAGGATAACAAATATTGGAAAGTTTAATAAACATTAACAGAATACAGTTCTGAAATCTTGAAAGTTTTATGTAAAGTTTTTAAAACGAAGAAAAATGAGAAAACTTAAATGTTATGGTAAATTAGATAGGGGTTGCGTTGCATTGGAAAACATGTTGATTTAATGAAGTTTTATAGATTTGATGATGTAATCTTGTGTTGCTGTGTGATAATTTCTCTTCTTAAAGAACATAGATTTGTTTGTGTTGAGATATGCTAGAAAATCCTCCACGTGCTCCTCTATCATCTAAACATTAAAGGGACTGTAAGCGTAATTTTAAGTGACCTTCCATGCAAAGATGACAATGCTCGATTCACAACAGTACCCTTAAAACCTTGAGCCCAATCAAAATGTGGAAGATGCCGTCGTTTTTCCAACTAGAAAAGTGCTAGTTTCTGTGAGTTTCTCCATTGCCTCTTTTAAACAAGAAATAAGCAATTCAATTTCGCAGAGAAACCGCAAATGAAATAAACATATGGATATTTTATTCTAATTTGATAAGACAAAGCTTTCAAGGGTACCATTGTAAATCGGGCAATGTCATCTTTGGATGGAGGGTCACTTGAAATTATGCTTACAGCACCTTTAATTCATTATATTAATTACATTAATTACATTAATTACATTAATTACATTAATTACATTAATTATTAATTATTATGTCCTGATAAATCCTCTCTTTTAATCTCTTTTTAAATATCCCTGCTAGAATTCGATCAATGAGAGTTCCCTCATTAAATGGCGTGCAAAATTTCAAATTTCTCAGCTTCTGATTCGCTGTTCAGGTTTCTGCCTACGCAGTACGCACTCTCTTGGTTAAATTTTATTCACTTTTTTTAATAAAAATAATTAGATTAAATTAATCTTGAGATTATTGAATTGATTATTGAATTTAGGAGATCCAGCATTGATCTCAATATCCATAATGCTAAAGTTTTCAGCTCAGATTTTAGTCATAATATCAAAAAGCATGAATGCGAATTCCACATCTTAATTATTCTATCCAAAAATAGTTATACCAAATTATACCCGTCTTTAAGAAGAATTTTTTATAGAAATCTTGATGCAAATTTTTTATTAATTTTATCATGAATTCGGTACAATATACAATATTGTCCTCATTCTTCCGAAAATATGTTTTAAAATAGAATATACTCTCAACAGGATGTAAAGCGTATCCTTGAACACAAATTCATGATTCTGGGAGCAACTTTGAGTAAAAACTAAATATCGGACTTCGTTACAGAAAAGATCGTTAACAAATAATCAAATAAATTAAAAAACGGTCAGCCTGGAGTCTTAAGAAAGAATGCACACCTATACTAAGAACCGGAGTATTTCTAATGTATAACCACAAATTGGTTCAAAGTATGGTCTAACAGGCTATGGAAAAGTTCAATGGCGTTCTATCACAAACCTTTTTTCACACAAGGTCAATACCAATATCAGTTGAGTTTTAATGTACCCTTGGGTCCTTGAGTAATAAGATTTTGAACCTTTAACATGAATCTTTGAATAAGTGACTCGCTTATCATATTACTGACCGAAGGAACTATTTTAAAGAATGTTTTATTTTAGAACACGTTCTTGACCGTTAGTATGGTATAGTTTAGTATATTTATGATCGTTAATTCTAGTTTATGGTGGAACAGTTTAATCTATTCATTTGTTAGTTTTTCAGAACTGTTTGGTCGTTAACAGGAAATCCTTTTCGTTGATTGCAAGACTGTTCCCTATTAACGGCGTCCAGCTAAAGTCATAATTGAAAAATTTGAAGAGTAAATTATTAAAAAAAGGGGCAACAAAGTGATTGAAAATAAGTTTTAACCTTTATATTCTGATCTGAAAATGAACCTGCTGTTATGTACTCCCCAATCCGAACCATTAACCTAGTGTTCAAACATCTCATTTGAAAAAAAAAACTTTAAGTAATGACATCATCAATTTGGGAGTATTGATTCATCTTTTTTTCGTTCGTAATTAAGAAAAAAACTGCAACCTAATAAAATCATTTTATTTCTAAGGGAACAAAGGGACGGAGGTTCATAACTTGTTCATAAAAAAGAAAAGATTTAAAACTGTTGTAAAGTATTGATTAGAGTTGTTTCCTTAGCAGATGAGTTGACCCATATATATCACAGGGTTGGACTGCACCCTTACTTTCACAATCCTAGGTACAAAATAAGTTGATAGCTATCTAGGTAAGTAGGTAGATAGGTAGGTAGGTAGGTTGGTAGGTAGGAAGGTAGGTAGGTAGGTAGGTAAGTAGGTAGGTAGGTAAGTAGGTAGGTAGGTAGGGAGGCAGGTAGGTAAGTAGGTAGGAAGGTAGGTGGGTAGGTTTGTAAGTAGGTAGTTAGGTAGGTAAGTAGTCAAGTAGCCAGGAAGGAAGGTATGTAGACTGTAGAGGGTTAGGTAGTAGAATGAAAGGTAAATAGACAGGAAGGTAGCTGCTATATTAAGTACTAGTAGGTAGGTGGATAGGTGGATAGGTTGGTAGTTTGATAGGTAGGATTAAACTGTAAATACGACCTGAAAATCTTAAAATATTACAATTCAAAGTTAAATTAATTCTTCTCACTTGTATATAGTCTTTTATTTAATTAGCTAATTTAATGAATTTTAATTTAGCAAGACACAAGTTTTTAGTTGCAGGGAATCAGGAATGTAAGGAAACAGATAGTACAGTACAGTCGGTACAGACGGTACAGTATAGTCGGTACAGACAGTACAGTACAGTCGGTACAGACGGTACAGTATAGTCGGTACAGATAGTACAGAACAGTCGGTACAGACGGTACAGTACAATCGTATCTAAAGTCTCATCCTTAATGGGTAACCCTGGAGGTATCATAGTGAATTTGTGATATATTGATTAAATATTGACATTGATTCATTCATAGATAATTTGATTAATCTTCAAATTCTTGTTTTGATGAACATTGTATATTATTAATTAATATACCTCTTTATACTGAAGTTTCTCTACTTGATAAAGAAGCTGGGAACCAAGTGCTACATTAAAATATTCTCCAAACCCTCGCACAATCTGCAATAAACAGATAAGATGATAAAGAAAATAATCAAGACATGTATTTCGAAGCGAAACTTAAACTTAAACTGAAAACTTTCAAATCTTTAAAAGAAAGAGTTGGAAATTTTCTCAAAAAATATCTATTGTTTTTTAAGTAACACAATATTTTAGTTGTTAAATATTTATCTTTTTATTTTGGGATTTTTTGATAAATCAAATAATCGAAGCTTACACCATAAGGTTGCAAAGTGTTTAGGACTTGAATCCACAAAAATCAAAAGCAAAATATCAATGAAATTCTACATGCTATATTTACTCTCAACACATAAATCTCAATTGTTAACCAATAAGTGATTGATTGAAACTTCCTAATCTCTGAACATGGTTTCTTAAACTTTAGCATAAAAATTAGGCATTTGCCATTTTATGTTGCGCGCGCATACCCCGTAAAATTCAAAAACAAAGAGATGGGGATTGAATTTTGTAGATCCAGAAAAATAATATCTGTGGGATGCCTGCGTAGAGACTGGCAGCTGGTGGGGTCTTAAATGTAAACATGTGGCGACAGCGCTCGGCCCAGAAAGTGTCATAACTTAACCTAACCCGTGGCCGCAGTGCTCGGCCCCCTAGCCTGTCCTAGCCGCAGCGCTCCGCTCGGCCCAGAAAGTGTCTTAACCTAACCTAACCCTAAATAAATACTAATTTCTGGATCTACAAAATTCAATCCCCCTCTCTCTGTTCTGGAATTTTAAGGGGCATGTGCGCGCAACATAGAATGGCAAATCCCTAAAAATTAGCGCATTCAGATCCATTTTTTTCACGGCGGATCCGCAACAAAATGAAAGTGATCCTAAGCACTTGCAAAGATAAATAATCTGAAAAAGTTACAGTTTCTTAGCAAAAGATTATAGAACAATCATTAATTGATATATCTAAGGTTTACAACCTTGGGTTGCAAATATATAGGAATGAGAAAATCAGAGATTGTGGCAAAGACTCAATTTCTTTTCTATTAGACCAACTGTTTGCATACATGTGAAATTTTACAAAAACATATTTTTTAAAGTCATTCCCAATGAGAGAATTTAAAAAAAACAAGGTTTTTATTACAACTATAAAACCAAGGAGTATGGAATAGAAGGGAGATACAACTGACGCAGCCCGCCCTACCATATGATTATTGATTATGCAAGCTTTGCAGACGGTACTCCATTTGTATATGAAATATTCAGAATAGGTTATTGTATACGCGGTAATTGTACATCAAACAAATAGTTCTTATTCAAATGGAGTACCGTCTGCAAAGCATGTATAATTATTTATGGTAGGACGGGCCACGTCAGTTGTATCTCCCTTCTATTCCATACTCCTTGTATAAAACCCGGAAATTGTTATATTTATAAACAAGTTCAACATTACTGGCAATAATACAACCCATAATAAAAACATTTTTTGTATATTGTTTACAATAATGTCGGAAAATAAAAAAGTTCATTTAAAATTCTATTTCCTTTACTATTTTAAACGTGAAAGAAAATGGCAACATAGCCGTTTATATGCTGTATGTGATTCAATTTCGTAACAACATCAAATCAAATCAGACTTTTAGGGAGGTCCTACTATCCACGATTCAAACTCGAGATGACATTACTAAATCAAGAATGAAGCAAGGCCTTATTGCTTGTAAACTGTATGACTTTCCCGCTTTTATATGTATTAGTTGAATGCTAATAACATTTTCAATTTTGCAAGTATTAAAATCAGTTTATGAATGATTCTTTAGTCTTCTACAAATTTTATCCGTCATTAACAGCTACAGTGGACATCCGACATCGTGCCAGACTACTTTCGACATACAATTAAAGACCCGCAAGCGCATTTGCTTTTTTGATGAAATTGGTTTTTATTTTCGAACATATCCGTATTTTAAAACAATTACCGGATTTCAGCTCATGTCGCGTTTTTGGAACATATCTTGGTTTTGAGACAATTACTCGAATTCATATCAATGTAAATTTTCCTGCAAGATTTTTTAAATTTTAAACAAAATATAAAACAAAAAACTACTGTTCTTTTATAATTTAAAAATCATTAAAGCAGCGAGAAATCAAAATTTTAACATTATTCTGTTCTTACAATATAGATTTAACTAGAAATCCGGAAAAGTGTTTATTTAGAATGCGGAAAAATTAAATCAAAGGAATTGATTCTTTGCCACAAAATAAAATTTTTAATTTCTATATCTATACAACCTTTTATGTTTCAAACTTAGATTATTTGATCTAACGGAATTCCTAGTTTAAAAAATCTATGGTCTACGATATTTGGTTGCGAAGATATGGGGATTAGAAAATTTGCGTTTGTGGCAAAAACACAATTCATTTATTCTCTTATTTTACAAATAAAATAGGGACATTTAGATTTTGGAAATAGTTTAGCAGATAATTTAGTCTTCAAACTTTAATTTTTACTTTTAGTGATTTATTTTGTGACAAACTTTTACCCTCGATATGGGATGGGATCCAAAAAAACTGAGTCTTTCAATTTGTGCTCATCACTAACACTCAGTGTTAGAAATGGGCAAAGTTTTAGTTTTGGAACTCATGTCCCCTGAATTAGGCATGCCCAATTCACTGTAGTTTAACGTGAAATTCCTACCTCTGCTGCAATAGATTTCCTGGATAGTTTTGTCTGCTCTGTGGATAGATGGGCAATATACTGGTCAATAATATGCGTTACAGTCACCTATACATAAACAAAGTTGGCGCCATTTTTTATCGACGGACGCCATTTTCTTTAATTTATTTGCGCCATTTTGGTGTAACTTTTATTCTTGAACGTCGGTCTAATCCTACATATCATATAATTGTAGAAACTTCGTAATCAGAAGAAGTTTTTTTTTGCTAAATTGGAAAAAAATAATTGAATTTTCAGCCAAAAAGCATCAAAAAAGGTGAAAAAATTTCTTTTTAATGCCTATTCTTTTGATTTTTTTCCCACACAACGTCATTTTTTTAACATAGAAAGTAACGATGATATTTTTTTGGATGTATTTTGACTGAATTATCTGCAAACATGTTAAAATAGAGAAATATCTTTCAACAGTAAAACGATAAGAACACATTTTTTTGGACAAATATTGTAGAAAAACAACGGTTTGTTACCTTGGCTGGAATAGTAAACAGTCTTTTTTTATTTACAATATTATCCCAGTCTCTGCAGAGAATATACTTGAGATCAATCGGTAGTTCAACATTGATTTTTCCATCACGAACCTTAGAATAGAATAGATCAGTGTCTCAGGGAAGTCCTACTCCCAACCCTAATTCCAAGATAGAAAATTTTAAATAAGGTATGAAAAAACTAATCTGTATAATTTGTGGTGCAAAGAATTAGGCTTATTCCTTTTAGATATTTTTGAGGATCGTTAATAAATGATTAGGCTGTGGGTTTTCATTTTTTGTCAAGTAGATTACTGCTATTTAGTTCCGACTTCACCTAGTTTGTGCTATTACTAGAAATGGACTACGTTTTCGTACACGAACGAACAAATATTTTAGTGAACGATAATGTCGTTCAGAAAAGTTAACAAACGAGTAGGATCATTCTGTGAAAACAATATCGTTTTTTTAAAATGACAGAAAAAAAACGATAAAACGAATTTTATCTAAGTCAGACCGTTAACGAACGTGTTTGTTAACGAACAATTTAAATTTTTTTTACAAACGTGATTGCTGACCGATTTTTGTAAACGAACGAAATTGAAGGAACGAACGAATTATTTTTTACTAAAAACAGAAAATAGTCCTTCAACGAGCCGTGAAGGAATTGAAAAAACCGAATATGCCCATCTCTAAATTTTACCAAGTCAATTTTGAAGCATGGAATTAAAGTTTGGAAGTCTTTCCTCAACATTATTCCTTTTCTCTAAGTTTTGAAATATTTTTAATCAAGGGAAGATCAAAATATAGTTTCTTCTCTTCAAATGCTTACAATAAGACTTAAAATGTTTTAGCTTAGGAAAGTTAAAGTATATTAATGACGACTGCAACATGCAAATGAATAATAAAATAGAAGTGCATTCTCTGTTCCTAAGATAGAGTGAATAAATCTGAATATTAAGATTAAAATGCTTCAAGATATCTGTGGGAATTAGGATATCAAAATATTTTCTTAAAGGGACTGATGGGATATTTTGTTTAAGTGACAGGTAACAAGTAAACAGAGGATTCCCTTTAATTTGACAGAACTAAACAAGAACCTAAAGTGACCGACCTTCCATTAGAAAAGGGGCCCCTAATCATAATGTGGAAGATATCGTTGTTTATCTACCATGAAAAGGAGTATGCCCCTAATCATAATGTGGAAGATATTCTCGTTTATCTACCATGAAAAGAGGTATGCCCCTATTGATAATATGGAAGATATTCTCGTTTATCTACCATAAAAAGGGGTATGCCCCTAATCATAATGTGGAAGATATTCTCGTTTATCTACCATGAAAAGGGGTATGCCCCTAATTATAATGTGGAAGATATCGTTGTTTATCTACCATTAAAAGGGTAAGATTACAACAATTTTTCCTCTATTGTTTCTGACGTGGTAACGTGTAAGTCGTCACTATTGACAATATTTAATTTTCATAGAGAAATAAAGGATATTTCATGAATTGTTAATAATGAAATGATAATTTCCGTTTTTCTTAGAACAGTGTACAAAAAAGTTAAAAGAATGTTTTGATTTGTAGACAGTCTCTTTATTCAGCATTTTATTATTATTATAATCAGCACGATACAATAATGAAAAGAGGATTTTCTTAAGCTTTCTGAATTCTTATAAAAAGGAGCAAGGATAGCAATGTGACATTCCTAAAGGAATAAATAAAGGAAACAGAATTTTTTTCTTATTTTCTCGTGTCACGTTTCCTATTCTCAGTCGGAGCAAATGATAAAATTCAATAAGAATACTGAATATCATCATTGTTATAATTTATTATCAGCGGCTTAAGAGTGAACCTTGTGAAGGGTATGTAAGGATAAATATTTCATTGAAAATCATTCCCTCCATTGAATATTTTTTTTCATATGTTAGGCAGGGTTTTATTCGCTGAATTTAAACTCATAAAAAATATTCTCAAAAAGAAAATAAAAAACATTACTTGTTCTTTATTCAATCTTGCAACAAATCAAAGTTCTCCCACTCAAAAGGGTATGCACTAAAGATGGATGGACTAAACAGAACTAAAAATGAGTGCAAGATGGACACATTCAACATGAATGCACGAAAAGTAATAGAACTCACAGTGAGAACAAATATCAAGGAAAAAAATGAAAGACGCACATTGGGAATTATGAAGGACGCATATAGAAGTTGAGATTAACTGGGAAAATTGAGGAAGCACAATGAAAACGAAACAAAGAGGACGCACCAAGTAACACATACTGTAAAATGCATATTGTAGCTGTTTTGAGTTACCTCATCTGAGAAGGATGGCAGTGTCTTGAGTGCAGGAATATCTTCCTTCTTTCTCTTCACCCGACCCACTACTCCTTTAGCAGCAGCACTCCCCTAGATTACAGTAGATTCAAGCTAGGAGTAGTTGAACTCCAGTACATTCAAGCTAGGAGTAGTAGAACTACAGTAGATTCAAGCTAGGAGTAGTAGAACTCCAGTACATTCAAGCTAGAAGTAGTTGAACTACAGTAGATTCAAGCTTGGAGTAGCATAACTCCAGTACATTCAAGCTAGTTAGTAGTAGTACTACAGTAGATTCAATCTAGTTAATAGTAGAAATACAGTAGATTCAAGCTAGAAGTAGTGGAACTAAAGTAGATTCAAGCTTGGAGTAGTAGAACTCCAGTAGATTCAAGTTAGGAGTAGTAAAACTACAGTAGATTTCAGCTAGGAGTTGAACAACTACAGTAGATTCAAGCTAAGAATAGTAGAACTACAGTAGATTCAAGCTAGGAAAGTAGAACTACCGTAGATTCAAGCTAAGAATAGTAGAACTACAGTGAATTCAAGCTAGGAGTAGTAGAACTACAGAAGATTCACGCTAGGAATAGTAGAACTACAGTTGATTCAAGCTAGGAGTAGTAAAACTACAGTAGATTCAAGCTAGGAGTAGTAAAACTACAGTAGACCTGGGGGTACTTGCCCCAAAAACAAAGGAGGAAATTGCGAGATTTTAACACTTTTAAAGCTAGAAAAACGACGATATCCTCCACATCATTGATCAGATAATGGTTAAAAGGGTGCCTTGATGAATCAGGCATAGTCTTCTTTAAATGAAGGGCAGATTGAAATTACAACTACAATCACTTTAAGAGAGATGTATACTGGTCGTTTACAGACTAGCTAAATAATTTTAGTGTTAACAATTCAGTTCATTAAAACATTATTTTTTTCCTTCACGATGTAAATTTTCAAAGAAAAGGACGGGGGGGGGGGGGGTTAATCCAGATTAAGATCGGAGCTTAGCTGAATAATTTATTCCAAATTGATTCAAATTTGTTTATTCTCTTATAGAAGAAAACTTTGCCAACTTAGATTCTATTAAAGTTTGGGATTACTAGGCCTTAGGGCCCTTCGTGCACATATACTATTTCAACTTTCACTTGTGGCTTTATCTTTAAAACAAAGACAAAAAAAAGTTAGCGGATTTCTTAATATTTTTTGGTGCATTTTCAAAATTTTACAAAAATAAAAACCTAAAACGCAAATCTTTTAAATTTTCATCATTCATAAACCTTCCCTGGGGTCATGTGAGGTCCCACACAAAATTTGGGCCTGATCGGTTGAGCCAATTTAATGTTTATTGGATAGAAAAAACAGGCAGACAGAGATAAAAATGTGTTGAAAATGGGTAGAATTGCATCAAAGCCCGCCCCCCCCCTCCCATCATCAAAAATAATTTCCCACAATTCTTTGAAATATGCACCCCTGAACCTACCTCCTCGTCTCTTGAGCTGGTAGATCTCTCATCATCTCCCAGGGACCTTTTCTTAATCCTAGAGGGTGTAGGTGCTGTTCTATCTCCTACAGGGGTACTCGCCCTAATCAAACATAACATTTGGGGTTTACTTTAAAGGACCTCTTCTTAATCCTTGAGGGTGTAGGGGTTATTCTATCTCCTACGGTTCCTGCCCAATCAAACCTAACATTTTCAAGGAGTTTACTTATAAGGACCTTTTCCGATCCTAAAGGGTGTAGGTGCTGTTCTTATTTAAATTTTGCGTATGTTATTCTGACAATAATTTTGGGTTTTAAATGTTGTTTTCCATGACCTCATTATTTTATATTGCTTTCTGAGACATCATGAATTACATTAGGGATGAGAAGTACATGGGTACAACTATCTGAGACATTCGTGAACTCGCTGACAAACTAGATGACCTGTTCCTTGACTATCCAGATACGAATTCAAGGGTTTTCAAGACCGTGTGAAGACGATTATAAAGAAAATTGAGAAAGTCAAGATTACTGCTAAGGAGTTAATCGAGAATGATAAAACTCATAACATAAACCCCCCCCCCCCCACATTCTCGGGGGAGAACTCCGATAAGGGCGACTACTACTCATTCAAAGAAGATTGGGATCATTTTGTTGCTCTGAAAGGAACCTCTGTTGCAGATCAAGTTCGTCTCCTAACTCGTACTTGCTTGACTGGGGTTGCTCGTGCGGCCAGTCGCCATCTTGGCAATGATCACAATGATCAGCAACTTGACTGAGACCACTGAAAAGTTGATTGCCAGAAGATTTGATATCGTAGATGAGTCACCACAACCATGACAATTGTAGGTTGATCAGGAACAAGGTCAGGTTTCCAGAGATACTATTGGAACCTGTATCAGGAAGGATCTAACTGAAAAAAGGTTATAAAATTGAAAGATATGTTTTTTATATAATAAATGCAAATTTGGCAATGCGCGCTGGTCACTCCAGCAAATAATTCATGAAATTCAGAAAATCCACAAAAAAACTGGGATATTTCGACAGGAAGTATTGTTTAATCTTTAAGTTGTATGAAATAGTTTGTTGTGTCCCTAACTCTACAAATATTGATAGTTATGAAAAATGTGAACTTTCCCTTTAATAAATACCTTGAATTACTGTTTGAATCTGAGCCTCCTTTGCTGCCCTTCCTCATCTCCTTCTTGATCTTCTTGTTGGCCTTATTCAAAGGGAACATGTTTTTTATATTCTGGCGATTCACTCTTCAAAATTATTTAATTGAGATGGTTCACGTAGAATTTGGGAGAATTTTTATTTTTTTTATTGGGGGGGGGGGATTAAAAAAAGTAAAAAGAAACCTTGACATAAAATGTCCAACTTTCATATCTTACAAAAATATTTCCCTCCCTTATTTAATGCTTGATGGGAGGCAAACAGCTTCTTCTGCTTCTCGAAGTTCTCAGAGTTCTAGGGTAAATTTAAGTGCTTAGGATACATTTCAACTTTTTTTTAACAAAAGAAGATTTTTCAAATTACTTTTCTTCTTTTTTTCGCTTATTTTAAACAAAAAACTTGATCTTCAATTCAGAAAAAGGACACATTTAATAACCCCTCGTTTTTCGACAGTTCAAATTTGGGGTTTGAGGCCAAAAAGTTTGGTTATTGAATATTTTTCTCATTGCAGATCTGGATTCGTGGATCCGCATATATTTGCGGATCTAGATACAGATCTGCAAGGAGAAAAATATTTAATAACCAAAATTTTTAAAAAAAAACTTCTTGGCCTCAAACCCATTTTCCCAGTGCCTTAGATCCATTTTGCTTACTGGATCCGGGTCCGAATTTTTTTCAAATAAAACTTTCTAATCTCCACTGGGTCTATCAAGCTTCAGTAAAAAATCAGTAAATTATGACCTGGAATTGTATCTGGACCCAAAAAGTCGAAATGAAATGGATCCTAAGCACGGTTTTTTTTTCTATCCTTTGTTTGATCAAATTTTCAAATATATCTGAGGTAAATTTTGATTCATAATCCCTAAAGTTTTGTTGTCAAAATCATTATCAAAACCCAAATTGATTAACTTTCCTGCATATCGCATCAAACTCTAATTTTTAAATCCCTAATGTCGTTGATACAACTTTTGCTTTATCAAAAAGTCAATAGTTCCATTATCAAATGTTTATACCGTCAATTTGCAATAACAATGATTAAAAAATAATTTTAAAATTGCTTCAAAACTCACAGAATCAAAAAATAGAGGTTAGTTCCACATTTTTTAAAAACATATTTCGGTCTGGGTTAAAATATTAGTATTTGAGGCGAGTTATTTATTCCTTTAATTTATCTTTTTTTTTAAATGTAAATAATTGAACCTGTTTCAACATTCTAGACTCAGTTACCCACTCATCCCAATTCTTGTTCCAGCCCTGTTAATTAAATAAATCAATTTTAAACAAGCTTAAATAAATTAAAGGGACTGTATGCGTAATTTCAAAGATGTACAACGGTAATCTTTAACACTTCGACTTGTGCGTAACTGTATGCGTAATTTCAAAGGTCGGTAACCTTTAAACCTTCAACTTGTGCGTAACTGTATGCGTAATTTCAAAGGTCTCTCCATGCAAATATGTACAACGGTAACCTTTAAACATTCGACTTATGTGTAACTATATGCGAAATATCAAAGGTCTCTCCATGCAAAGATGTGCAACGGTAACCTTTAAGCCTTCGACTTATCATTACGACAAGACGCAAGATAACTCAGTGTGTGGAGAATGTAGATCTTAATAAGTGTTTGATTTATCGTAAAACAGTGTGTAATAGTATAAAACATCCTTCTAATTGGTCGAGGAAACCCTTAACATCCTTTTAAACAGGGTGGATACAGGATTTAATATAAGGGGGGGGGGGGTTGCTAGATTTATTTCGGAACAAAAAAAATCCAGATTTAGGAACAAAAGACTTGCCGCAAGCGAAATTTCTTTAAAGATAGATATTTTTCCAGTTTTGCACTAGGTTTTCTTTATTGAGAAGCTAATCTAAAATCTCAGGGGGTGCGAAGTGTAAAACCTGTACGCAAGTAGTTTGATCAGTATGGAGCTAACCATCACTGGAGATGGGTTAAATATCCCAGAGAGACCCGTGTCGAGAGTCCAAAGTCCAGAGTCCCGAGTCCAGTGTCCAGAGTCCAGATGACAGTAGTACAAAGAGTCTACACCAAGTCCCGAGTCCAGAGGCGTGAGTCCAGTGTCGAGTGTCTAGAGGCGAGAGTCCAGAGTCCGATATCCAGAGATGAGATTTGTATCCATCCTCAATTAAACCAAGAGATAGTGCAGTAAAAATTGAAACCATTGAAATACTTATTTAATATTGTCTTTCATGCTTGCAATTTGCTGTCTTATATTCTCTTTAAATAGGCTGTAAATCGCCTTAAATAGATTTTACATTTCAATTTTTAACACAACAGCATAAATAAGCAACTGACAATATTATTTGATGCTGATGAGAGACCTGTGTCGGATTGTTCTACACCAGGATGACCAGGGGAGCCTTGATGAGCTACTCCTACAACTCCTTCAACAGCTAGTAACTCTCTAACTGCAGGATTAACCACGTTATCTTTTTCATTCCGTGGAGTGTAAAACCTGTGGTTGGTGTAATCTGAAGATAACTTGTTAATCCTACAAATATTAAATCTACAGATTGCCCCCCCCCCTTTAGCTTTCTTACCAGCTGTATCCGGTACATGTGTAGTGACACATTAACTGTACAGTACTCTTGTGTACATTACTATCTTAGTGTACGCAAGTAGTTTGATCAGTATGGAGCTAACCCCCTGTATCTGCCCCTGCTTTTAAAGTAGGGTTATAAAGCTTTACGGATCCGGATACTCTTTTCGATTTCCCTTATTTTTAATAATGATTCTAGGAAGTGTGTACTGTAAAGGAGCGAAGAAGAACAATAAAACCCTTCTCTATGTAATGTAAAACTTTATTGCAAGAATCCAATTTGCTGGATGTTAACAAATGCACTTATATTGAAACCTTGCAGGATAAATATAACGATATATTTAGGAAAAGGACAGCTGGTGTATGGTAAGAACAATGATATATATAGAATATTATAAAAGGAATAAACAATAAATAAATATTTTAAGCTTAGACACATTTTCAAACAATTAAAATTAAAATATTAACCTCCACTTCACATTGAAATATTCACAATAAAACTATGATTTTTCAGAAGATTTTTTATTTTGAATATTTTAGAGAATTTATTTCTTTTGAAAGAGGTTTAAAATGTACGGTCGAGAAAAAAAAAATTGGTTTAAATTTTGCGGCCTTTTTTTTTAGTTCACCTGGTAGTGTATAAAATACATGTGAGTGTTTCCTTCCTTTTTAGTTTTAATGCATTTAGCTTGGTAGAGCAGAGGTCCATGGTAGCACAATACCTTCTCATCTACACTATACTTAGACACCATCTTCATCTGAAATTATTCACGTTTATAAACTTTTAATTTGAAGTGACTTTTTATCAACTTCAACACAGTTGAAAGGAATCTAGAATTTAAACATAAACAGTAACTCGGGAGACCCAGGAATGTTCTTAGCTTGGTTTTGAGATTCTAAGTTGATTGGGTCGACTTTAATAGCGAAAGTTTAATTTCCCGGTAAAATGGGATAGGAATAGCTCTGCCCAGGTTACACGACATGAATAACTTTCAGTAACCTTGGCAGCGCTGGGTTCCCAATCTATAAAACTCTATGTATGCAGCGTATGATTGAGAGAGAAAAGGAATATTATGATATGATTGGTAAAGATTACAAATATTATATTTAATATTTATTACAAATAAGAGGAACTACATCAGAATTATTTTGTAAAAAATATGTTATTAACAATAAGAAAGCATGATTTATTATTAAAATAAAAGTTGTCAGAAATTGACATTAATAGGTCAAGTATCATATTTACATCTGAAGGAATGGTTTAGATTACATAATTACAAGGTTATACAGGAGATTACATGTTACATGAGATTACGTTACAGTTATGGCAGGTTTTATAGTTACAGTTCATAGTTTAGGTCTTTTATTGATCCTAAACCCAATTAATCATTTTAAACAAATTGCTAAATATAAAAAATATAAAAATATTAGATCTTAATCATAATTGGATTTTAATGATTTTTAATTCATTTATATTTATACTATAGTAAAATTGAGTATTTAGGTTTAAATCAAATGAGAAAACTTGAGAACTTCTTCGAGACGATTTTGATAAAAAATACATGGATTAGGTTGGATCAACGAAATGATACAGATTACAGCCAAGTGTATTTAGTGTAAGGCACATTATGTTCCACGCAAAAAGACTTACATTAAATCTAAAAGATTTCTGTTTAACAATATTTACATTTCATATTTTGTATATCTTGAGATTTTTGACAGAATACTTATATTTTATATTAGGAAATGTTTTATAACAAAAATATGTTTCATAAATTAATAATGTTACAAGAAAATATAATTTTCAAGAGGTGGGAAGAGAGAAAAATAAATTAAGGCGTTCTTGCTCGAAGAAACTAAAAACAGTCGTTTGACCATTTTTAATACTTTCATTGCTTCATCTTCCAAAAAACTAATCGAAATATCAACACCTTCATTGCTGTACTTATGTCGGATCTAAAAGTTTAAATCGTAATAATCCTTTCTTAAAATAAAAATTGATTATTAAACTTTTGGAAATTTTTGTTTCCATAATTGTATGCGCCTCATTTTGTTTTAAAAAAGTTTTTTTTGGGACATTCTATATAGTTACTTGATAATTCTGGTTTTGGTGCAAAAGTAGCTGTAATAAAAAAGTAATTGTTATTTTTAAGATAGCTTACGTCATTCTAAGCACTCTTTAAACAAAAGCTTTCAATAATAAAATGAAAAACAAAATAATGATATTTTAAAACAAACATAAATTCTTGAAAATCTGGGTTGAGTTTAACTCTGAATACACACCAAAAGCGTTTTAAATCGTATACATTAAGTTATTACGGCACTTTTTGAACAATTAACGTGAGTCGATATTTTTCTATGGAATGTATATGTCGGACAAATTTGGAAATCTAAAACATTTTCTCACATTTTGACAGTATTTCTGGGAATATTTTAAATCGGTGTTATTTCATGAATTCTTTAAATGATGAAAAACTTCCTTAATAATTTCTTCAGTAAAAGTTTTTTATTCTTGGTGAAACCTTTTTTGAGAATTTCTTTATCATAAAATCTTCCTAGAATTTCTTCATTATGAAAGCTTCCTAGAAAATTCCTTCATTATCAAAGCTTCTTAGAAAGTTTCTTCATTAGAAAAGCTTCTTAGAAAGTTTCTTAATCATGAAATCTCCCTAGAGAATTTCTTCATAATTAAAAGCTTTCTGGGGAATTTCTTCATTATGAAAGCTTCTTTGAGAATTTCTTCCTTATAAAAGCTTCCTAGAGAATTTCTTCATTAAAAAAGTTTAAAGAAATTCTTCAATATATAAAACCTTCTTAGGGATTTTCTTCCTTTTACAAGCTTCCTAGAGAATTTCTTCATTATAAAGCTGCTTAAAGATTTTCTTCCTTATAAAAGTTTCCTAGAGAATTTCTTCACTTCGTCTTCTACGCTTCCAAGATAGTCTGGATGGTTCATCAGTGTATTCATCCTAAAATTGCATTTATATACAAATATACAGGATTTAAATCGTGAAAAAAATAAAATTTAATTCCATGAAATTCTATTTTTAAATTTCAATTCGAAGCATTAACTGAATATCAATAAATTGTATTTGTATATATTCTGTTCTTTACATCATAACATGGAAATCCTGTTTGATCCTTTTTTTAACAAGGAGCTTTGGCTTTCAGGTGATTTTACAAAAATCTACGTTGGCCGGATTTAATGAATTGGAGAGATATCGCTGAACTACCTACTGCCGGTTCAACTGTTCTCAAGTGGTCACTGGCTCAAATTCTGAATCACTATTTCAAAGTTGAAGATTTTAGACAACCCTAATATAGTGTCAGCTGATGAAGACAAATTCGCTAACACTTCCAACCGATCAGAGCGCCGCAAATATTGAGTTCATCAATCTAAAAGCTTAAATAGAACACGGCTCTTAATGACTAGGATAGTTCAAACTTTAAAAAATTTAATTTAAACCAGTAATATAAGCAGAACTTAATATCCAGATCTCTTGGATCCGCGATATTTGGCTTCCTGGATTCGGATCCACGGATCTGGACCCAAGGGACAAAATATCAACCAAAAACTGCAAACAAAAACCTTTTGCTCTTAAAATCTGAATTGTTAAAGAAAGACCTTAATAAAATTTTTTCTCTGGTCCTTCGTGGTTAATCATGTTTAAGCATAAAATAACGAAAAAAAGAAGAAAAACAACAACAATCCGGATCCATTTTTTTCAAGTATGGATCCAGGATCCAGATCCGCATCACAATTATACTGCATATAAGATAAGTGGCTAAACCGTCTGTACATTAGGTCAACCAATTTCCCCAATTCATTAAATCCAGTACCGGGTCTATCATTGATAGCCTTATCATTGATAGCATAATCATTGATAGCCTTATCATTGATAGCCTTATCATTGATAGCCTTATCATTGATAGCCTTATCATTGATAGCCTTATCATTGATAACCTCATCATTGATAGCCTCATCATTAATAGCATCATCATTGATAACCTCATCATTGATAGCCTTATCATTGATAGCCTTATCATTGATAACCTCATCATTGATAACCTCATCATTAATAGCATCATCATTGATAACCTCATCATTGATAGCCTTATCATTGATAGCCTTATCATTGATAGCCTAATCATTGATAGCCTAATCATTGATAACCTCATCATTGATAACCTTATCATTGATAACCTCATCATTGATATAACCTCATCATTGATATAACCTCATCATTGATAGCCTTATCATTGATAGCCTTATCATTGATAGCCTAATCATTGATAACCTCATCATTGATATAACCTCATAGTTAAATTCCGACTTGAATCCTTAAACAAATATTTTGTAAGCTTTACAGTATACTACATTACATTATGTTACGTTACCAGTACAGCAAAGTAGAGGGCAGTACATGACAGAACTTTACAGTGCCGTACTGTACAATACAGTAAAGAACAGTACAATTTTATACAACACTGTTCTTAACAATGTAGAATATTAAATTACAGATTGAAAAGAAATTTGAAATTTAGGATTTTCAATACCGTAATATTAACAGTCCAACCCATAAAACTGTGGAATAGTAAGACGACATTTACGCATTATTATAAAATATATATATTACTTGATGTTGTTAAGCATAATGTTAACAAGTAGCTTATAAACTAACTTATTAAGTGTAAATGTTCTATGTACCATGTTAATTTTACACAACACAATTCCAAACTTGAGTTAAAAGTTCTTCTTATTCCATATGTTTATGGGTCCAACTGTACCTGAGCAAGGGCAGTTGAACCTTGGCTTGAAATTGAATTGTCTCCTCCGTAACTTTGATCATTAACACTGAAAATATCAAAATTAAACTAAATCTCTTTACATAACAAGATTTGATTTGTGTCCATTTTTAAAAGTTGATGTTAGAAATGAGCCAACACCAGGCTTTGTACATAATGTCCCCTGTATTAATAGCAATGATATAATAAGTCTGAGTTAAACGTTAAAAAGTGTAGAGCTAGCTGAGTATATCTAAGTTGGATAAAAAATACAATAAAAAGAGATTTTCTTAAAACAAAACTTAATATCTCCACTTTTCTACCTTAAAATTCATAAATGTTAAAAAAATATATATTAGGAATTATTTTTAAATAAAATAATATTTTGACAATATTTAAAGAAATATTGAAAGAGTACGTTAAGAACTAATTTAAAGTAGAATAATATTTTGACAAAATATAAGATATATAATCCCAAATATTTACCTAAAAGATGTTTCTAAATCTCCACTATCGTAGGTCATTTGAAACTGGGAGTCTATAACATGGCCTGTAGGTCGGGTACATACCTGGGGGTATTCATCCTTAAAATAAAAAGTCTTTTCTTTATGAAGGAAAACTGGATTTTAGGATTAGTAATAATAATAACCCCGGGTAAAACCCCTTTATGTACCCTGAGCTGAAAACTTTAGAATGATGGATATCAAGATTAATGCTTAAACTCCTGGTTTTACTAAACCCAAGATTATTTTAAACGCATTCGATATCCAAGAAAGAAGTTAAAAATTTAACCAATGAGCGTGTCATGTTAACTCTTTAACTTTTGAAAAACTGGTTTTGATTTCTGGAATTGAAGTAAACATCGATTAAAGGAACGCAAGAATATAGTATATATCATATAATATACCTGTTCAGTTTGATATTGAAGCCCAGATATCTGTAAACTAGTATCTTGGTATTTATTATGTATTGCAGCATTAGTTTCACTAAAACATAAATTCATAATAAAAATGTATGGAACTATAGGTCCAACTTTTTAAAGATGCTTCACGAGTTAAATTCCATAGCTAAAAATAAAAGAGAATCAAAAACATATTGTCAAAGCCTTAAAAGTGTTTAAAAAACGTCAAAGAGAAAACTTGAAGGAGAAAAAATTATAGTTACTATTGATAAATCTAAACCTGTATTTCTTAGCCATCTTTCTTCTCTTAATAATGGTTACAGCAGAGCACACGGATATCAGTATAATTACCAAAACACCGAGACAACATCCTAAAATTATTTATATGTTTATATAAAGAGGAGTATAAGAAGATTATAAGAGGAGTATAAGAGGAGTATAAGAGGAGTATAAGAGGAGTATAAGAGGAGTATGTAAGATGAGTAGGAAAGTACCTATAATCAGATAAAGAGTTGCATCTTCATCTTCTGGTTCCCGAGCTTCTACAGCTGCTGTTACAACCTTCAACAATCCAATTTGTTTGAATACCATTTTCTTCTCAAATTCCATTCTCTTAAATATTTATAACGCGGGGGTGTATATCTTTAAGAATTCCCCCCTCCTTCAGGAGTGGAAAATGATTTTTTTAACGAATTTAACTTCAACACTTTTTTTTCTATATTTCCCCGAAAAATTTTATAATTTTCCCCATTTCAGCTAATAATACCAGAACTATTTTTCTATTCACGCAAATGTACCTGACATCTGTAAATAATATTGTCAAGTTAGTAGTGAAAAAAATCATGTTCCAGAAAATATTAACCACTGCTCCAACAAGTTCCATCAAAGTTAGTTTAATTTACTATTTCTTGAGAAAAGATTAATATGAGTTTCTAGATGCTCATTATTTCTTGTAACGATGTTTTTAACAAGAATCTTGGAGAAATAATTAAAGGNTGCTCAACTGACAGTTAATAATAACAAGGGGGGTGGGGGCTCCCAAGGCAGTAGTTAGTTACCTCCTTTTTAGTCTTAGTTTCTGGAGCCAGGGTTCGAGCATATTGTACAGGGGAGAAGGGACCAACACCATGCACGTTAAATGCACGAACCTAAGTATTAAATCATATATCCACAACTTAATGGAAACAAATAGCACTGGGAGAGAAATTAGCAAACTTTTCTCATCTTTTGATTCTTATTACATTGTTGTTTATTTTACCCCCAAAATAAAGAAACATACTTGTAAACTAGGTCAACTACTAACAGTTAATAATTATTTCAAAGATCAAAGACGATTTTCAAGTAGTCCCTCAATTGTGAAGGATTTCTGTTACTTTGGGGGCAGCTCTGAGAATCGGACATGCCCCTTTCTGTTAAAAAAGGTTCACTGGAAATTACAACAACAGTCCCTTGAAGGTTTCTTCAACAATTGATTGATGAATTTAACGTGGTCAAATTTCTATGGAGAGTATTTTTCTTTTTACTTCCTAACAAATGCAAATATGTTGAAAGAACTAACACAATATGATTTAGACCAAGTGGCTCAATAGATCTTTAACAATCCTTGTCATGTATTTGAATGGAAAACTTCAACAAGGGTTTCAAGAAAATACGAGCAAATAATTTTTAATTTTTGTTAATTCTCTTGTATCAAAATTAAGGCTATTGGTTTCTCAGAACAGTTTGGATCCATTTTACTCTTTTGTGAATCCAGGTTCGGAAAGGAACCGGGTCCTGGATAGATCCGTGTCCTTGAATGGATTCGTTCTGTAAAAAAATCAGTATATCTTAAAAAACATGGATTTTACCTGGATTTGGATCCATTTATTTTAAGGGCGGATCCAGGATCCGGATCCACATCAAAATGAAATGGATCCTGACCACTGATAAAAAGAAATTCTATTACCTTGATATCGAATCTGCGACCCTGTTTAAGGTTTTCTATCACGTGACTATGTGTTCCAGGTCCAAATATAGTGATTTTACTATACGGTCCAGCAGACAAGGAGTCCCTGATAAGAAGTTTATTCATTCTTTACTTAATAAAGAAATATGCAACTTTTGAGATAATAATCAATATCAAATACTAATAAAACTTTATTAATCAATTATCCAACTAATTGAATTGATTGATTGAATGATTCATTAATTAATTCATTGATTGATTCATTGATTGATTCATCCTTTCATTAATTCATTTATTCATTCACTAGTTTATTTATTAATTTATTCTTCTATATGGCCTAGCATACTTTTTTATCTATAAGTCCACGGACAAGGAGTCCCTAGATATTCATTATTCATTGAGTCATTCATTAAAACTTAAAAATTATTTATCATTGATTTAATTTTATTAAATAGTTAATTAGTTCATCTATTTTTTTAATTTATCAATTAAAAAATGTATTACTTCATTCATGCATTCATTAATTCATTCATTAAATAAATTATTTGTTAACTTATACATTTCATCATTTATTCATTTTTATTATTTCTATATTGATTCATTTATTTATTTGTTTGTACATTTATTCATTTATTTATCTTCTTATTTATTTTTTCAGTTATTTTTCAAATCTATCCCTCCTTTCATCAATTAGACAAACAATTCCCAATTTGATTAATGATTACTTAATACTGACACTAAATCAAATCAGACTTTTAGGGTTTGTCCTACTAGCATTCTTCAGTTTCAAGATGACTTTTCTAATTTAAAAGTGTAGCCTGGGTTTATGATTTGCAATGTTTCAACGAATTACTTTGTCATTTTTGAACTAATGTAATTTTTACGCATCAGACAACCGACATTGGGCCAGGCTACCAATCAGATAACACCATTATACTAAGCGCTTTTACTATTTAACCCTGATCCTTGATGGTGAATCATTTTATTTATTTAGTTATTTACCTGAAGTATATAAAGTATCCTTCCACACTGCCTTGTTCGTCGGCGTTTATAACCTTAGGAACAGTCCACTGCACAGACAAGGAACTTGTGCTGAATATTATAAAACATTTCCAAACAAATTCAAAATTAATATTGTTTGTGTTGAAACCCGAAAAAAAGATCTTCTTTTTTCAGAGAATTATGTTTCATTTAGATTGTCTTGCATCTTAAATCAAATCCCAAATAAAGTGCAAATGTTTTGCAAACTAATGAATTTCAGTGATGGTTTTTGGTTAAGTGAGTTAATGGGTTTACTACGCTTAATTACGCTTACAGTTCCTTAAAGAAACCTTAAAATGATCAAAATGTAAAAGAAATATTAGCTTTTCCTATACGTAAATTTTTTATTTTTGCGAATTTCTTCATTGCATCTTAAAACGAGAAATGCGCAGAAAAACCACAAATGAAAATAAATAGTTTAAAGAAACAAAAGCATTGATGTCTAATTCATACTTGATCAGACAAAGCTTTAAAGGTACAGTTGTAAATTGGGCATTGTCTGTTAAAATCTTATATGTTTTAAATACGTTTAAAGTAGTAGAAATATTAAATACTTTTACTTAAAAGTTTTCAATTCTTTTCTATAAAAGTTTTAAACTTGATAATATTTACTCTGATAATCAAAAATCTAATTTCTTTAACAAGTTACATGAAAAATTCTTTAAATTGTGTTTATCAAAAGCTTTTTCAAAAAGTTTTGGAGAATTGAAACAAAAAAAAAATACAAAATTTTTGACATCACAGGGAAATTGAATAAAGCTTTGAATGTTTGAACATTTGAATACTTTCTATAGCTCATTTTCATTGAGAAGGAATTCGGGGAACAACTGCAGAAAACAGGAAGCATTTAATTTTGTTATTTTGTTGAATTAATCTCTTGATCCCAGTTTTAGGGGTTTATTAAAAATATCTGCATAGAGTCTATAGATTCACTGATAGTTTTATCATTTTTTACTCAAACAATCTCTCCAACATATCGATGATAACTGTTTTTATACATCTTAGAATTTGTAAAGTTTTTAATATTTCCCGGCATATTGTTCCACACATTCACTACTCTGCAAATGCATATTAAAATACAGGATTCTGTGCTTAGTTGGAAAATTTGTTTAGTTAGGGAATAAATTCTTAAGTATACATTTTAAGATAACAGCGAAATTCTTCAATTTTTTATGGTTTTCTGTATCCAGAACATACAGAGCGTCCCATATCATATTAGATTATCTCCAACCTTTAACACCAAAATAAACCCTTAATACTCGAAAAACTTATCATTTTCCGCAAGAAAATTCTTATATAAGCCTTATGTTATTTTTCAAAATGATTCATTCTAATGAAATTTTCTAATTAGTCCCGAAAATCGTAATTTAGACCCGTTCTCGGTCTAATATGATGTGGGACACCCTGTATATCCTGTGTAATGGGACACATTTCATCCTTATGAAATTTTCCCAGAGATAAAGGTTCCCGCAATATAGTTTTATTGTCTTTTGAACTGAACAAAGGATATTTAAGATAAATTTCAATTATTGAGCTAGGTAGGGGTGTATTGAGCTAGGTAGAAGGAAATTTACCTAAGAGGAAGAATATGAAGTAATTGTGGTATTACAGCTGGTCCCTTTTCTGTGCTCTCCTGTAGGGTAAAAGTTAAAAATAAATACAAAATAATAAATAATATTTTATTACTAAAAAAACATAATTCTTAATCAAACTTTCCGTTGCATCAAATCTACTGACACACAGACAAAATGTAATCAATAATGAGAGTTTATAGTTAAAAAAAAACTTGCAGAAAAAGTAATAAAATAAGATTTTGAATGATTTCAATTCTTAATAGGTGAAAGTTTTGAAATGCAACTTGTTGAAAACCTGCAAAAGTAAATTTAACCTTGAGATGGAATCTTTTAGAGACAGGACCGACGGTATTATCATTATCTATCACCACAGCGATCCGAAACCTAGGAAAACCCAAAAAATGAGATGTTTTTTTAATATTTAGTTTTAGGGTCCTTTTTGGATGGAATACTTAAATCTTAAATGCTTGATCTTAAAATCAAATATGGGGATTTTATAATTTAAGGAGCAAAGCTTGATCCCTCGAATAAAGCTACTCTAGTAGGGTAAGACCACTACGGATTAGATAACTAAGTAGGTCTGCATTAGATGGAGATCAATGCTTGATCCCTCGAATAAAGCTACTCTAGTAGGGTAAGACCCCTACGGGTGGGAATTAGATAACTAAGTAGGTCTGCGTAAGATGGAGATCAATGCTGGATCCCTCGAATAAAGCTACGCTAGTAGGGTAAGACCCCTACGGGTGGGAATTAGATAACTAAGTAGGTCTGCATAAGCTGGAGATCAATGCTTGATCCCTTGAATAAAGCTACTCTATTAGGGTAAGACCCCTATGGGTGGGAATTAGATAACAAAGTAGGTCTGCATAAGATGGAGATCAATGCTTGATCCCTCGAATAAAGCTACTCTCGCAGGGTAAGACCACTACAGATTAGATAACTAAGTAGGTCTGCACAAGATGAAAATCAATGCTTGATCCCTCGAATAAAGCTACGCTGGTAGGGTAAGACCACTACGGGTAGGGATTAGATAACTAAGTAGGCCTGCACAAGATGGAGATTGGAGATCAATGCTTGATCCCTCCAATAAAGCTACTCTAGTAGGGTAAGACCCCTACGGATTAGATAACTAAGTAGGTATGCATAAGATGGAGATCAATGCTTGATCCCAAGATTCACAAGACAAAAGTTCTCACTACTGCGGATCGAACCCGTCATAGTTCATAGAAGCCTCTGTTAATATTTTTCAATACTAATTATTTTCTATTATTGGATCTAGCAAACTTAATAGATTTTATACAATATACATTCATTGTAAATGGTTTTATTATTATTATTCTAATGAAAATAAAGGTGATTATGAAACTTGTGAATCATAGAAGATTTTAAATATTTTAAAATATTTGAAAGAAAATAATGCTACCTGTATACATGGTTCTGAATGAGTCCTACAACCTCAAAACTCCTGTTATATTCCGTCAACAATTCATTTAGACGGCACAAAAAGGACTTTTTTCATATAACACAAAAAGCAAAATTTAAATTCAGTAAGTGTGTTACTCCAAGGTAGAAACTCCCCCCCCCTTCATCGAAAATAAAGAACGCATACTAAAAAATGCTGATTAAGTATTTCTCCAATTTTTCTTTTGTGTTGACTTATTCCTTATTGGTGGATCAATATTTCCATCAACAGTATACCAGCTGGACTTAAGCGGGTCATCTTTAGTACCTAGATCTCTATACTGAACCTAAATACAATACACTTCAATACAGTACAGTACAGTATCTCATCAGTACAGAATCTCAAACAGAAAGAACAGTACATTACAAACGATACAGTACAGGAAAGCATGCACACCAGCTGGACTTAAGCTGGTCATTCTATGTACCTAGATTAAAAAAAAATATGTGGGCATCCCCCCAACCCCCCACCACCCTGATACTGGTCTGTGATCAGTTGTGACCTTCATGGTGTCCCACGAAACATGACAGCTGGTAAGAAGTTTGAAATGTCTTCTTCCATAATTAGTTAAGTTGTTTTGTTATTAAAGAGAATGATGAAAAATATTGTATGCCAATTTGATTATTTAAAATTAATTTCAAAATAAAATATATTTGAGAAAAAGATGTTTTTAGCGAAATGAAATGAAAAAAGTCGTTAATATCCAAAATAATTTATGGAAGAAGACATTCAAAATTTTTCAACAACTGTCATGTTTCGTGGGACACCCTTTACCTTAAAGAACTGAATATCCTGTGTAATGTTCGGCATACTCCAGGACAAGCTTGCCGAGTCCTCAGATAGCTGGGTCACATTAGGGGCGGAGGGAGGATACAGGATACCCTTCCGGGACCTACTAATATAAATAGCTTAAACAATTTTCAAATACATTAATTAATATTATTTACTAGCCTAAGTGCCCGGCGTTGCCCATGGAGTTTTAAAAACAAAGAAAAAAGTTGCGAATTATTTTAGCCTATGTTACCCCCAAGGTATCCCTAGGTTTCCACGAAAAATGTGAGCCGATTTGGTCCAGCCGTTTGGCCAGCTATAGCTAATCTATATATAAATTTGGCTTGTCTGTCTGTTTGTTTGTTTGTTTGTCTGTCTGTTTGTTTGTATCCAACAAACGTCAAAACGGCTGAACTGATCGGGCCCAAATTTTTTGTGGGACATCACGTGCCCACAGGGAAGGTTTATGAATGATCAAAATTTTAAATATTTGTCTCCATCAAAATTCGATCATCATTAAATTTTTGAAAATTTTGAAAATCCACGAAATTTTTTGTGAAAATCCGCGAATTATTTTTGTTTTGTTTTACGATGTACACAAAGAGAACATGTTGACAATTAATTTAGAAGATGGGCGCGAAGCGCCCTATAAGGCTAGTATATATATACTTTGCTTGTCTGCCTGTTTGTTTTTATTCAATAAATGTACAAACGACCTCATGTCGCCCCAGGGAATGTTTATGAATGATCAAAACTTCAAAAACTTCGTTAAAAATAATTTTAGTCAACATATCTTCTTAGGAAATCTGATTTTAGCTCCAAATAAAGTTTTTGACAGAAAAGATCATTGACGTATTTGGAGGCTAATTTGATTTTAATTAAAAATAGTTCAAGAAATACACTAAAAATCTAAAAATGATATTTGAGGGAAAAAATGAGAAAAAAGGTCAATTTAATATTTTTTAAGCAAAAGATTAAAAAATACATTCTCCCTTGGTGAGAAGACAAGTAGCAGTGCGATTAAACTAAATTATGATAGTTCACAAGAATGATAAGACCTAGTTCCCCTATCGGGGAACTAGGTCTATTGGTTAATTCTGACAGATTTTATTGTTTTTTTTTTATCAATAATAACTTCCAAACTATTTAACCAAACTACAATAAGAAGCAGAAAACTTTAGAATAGGAAGCAACTTTAAGACCCAATTTATGACTTTAAATAGTCCAATTAATATGCAACACAGAAATTCTGCAGTGCAAACAATTCAACAAATAAGTTGATTTTGTAAGCTAATGATAAAACTATTTGCTTTGTAACAACATCAAATACACTTATTATTACGTTATTACGTTATTGCTGTTTTCCCATTCCACAGCCTTCTGGTTCCTACTTGTAATAATACCTGGGAGCATCTGTTGTGATTTGAGTTGTGTTCATCATATTAGGAACTACTCTGACCAGCACAGCTGTAGATGATATACCAACCTCGTTCTCAGCAAAACACTAAAATAATATTGATCATGGGTGTATATTTCCTATAAAATCATTTTATTCTCCCCACCCCCTTTAAGTAAATTATCTATTTTCCCCAAAAGTTATATAAATAAAAAATGGCGAAAACGATCATGGTAGACCCCCAATGTGGGATCCCCAGACCGCTATCAGATGTTAAGGGCCTCTGTTCAAAACAGAGGCCCTTAACACCCTGATATTCTTACCCCTATACCAGGGAAATTCAAATCAAAGTAGGTTATCTTCATCATTTCATTTCTTGAACAGGTTCTTGGTTAACCATAAACTAACATTCAATGTTAGTTTCTTGTGGTAACACTTCAACTCGAGCAATGCGAGATTTGGTGACTGCTGAGGTACTTCAAAACCAATTTTAGCTGTAAAGTGGGGCAAACCGACCCCCATCACCTCTTAATTCTGTCTATTTTGTCCACATTTTACAACTGAATCTGGAATTTTGGAAAAGCTCTTTTTGTTCAGTATCCAGTTATAAAGTGAAAAAGCAGTTGATTGTAATTGTGAAAAACATGAAACTTGGGTTGCAATAAAGAAAAACTAAAAAATTGTTTGAATATAGTAGGCAGTCGGGCTTTGAGACTCTAGACAGTTTGATGAAAATGCCTAATATAATACTTAAAATATTTTCCATAATTAAAGGTCAGAATATTTGATCATCCTCTGAATCATTCTTAATGAGATATGTTAATTAAACACAGGGGGAGGGGGCGGGAGGGGTCCCCTTCCACTCTACTGTCAGGACTAAGTTAGGTCAAAATTTGAATGGAAATTTCCGAATTAAGGTAATCAATACTTCTATAATGAAAAGGTAAGTTTGTATGTTTAATATATAAANTAAATATCCAATTATGGTGTTATTTCATGCTAATTTTCAGGTAAATAAATCCAATTTCCTTGAAGAAATGATAAAAAAGATGAAATATTTCTTAAAAATCATAAAATCTACAAATATTATTCTGACACGGCCCTGATTATGATTTAATGACTGTACCTGGTATATACCGGCATCTGTAACCTTGAGGCTGGGTATCTCAAGCTTATGTGCTGTCATCCTCTTCTTCCCGTTGAACATCCAGGAGATCTTAGGGGCTGGGAATCCCTGGACACAAGACAATCAGTCCGTCAGTTGGTAGGTCAGTCTGTTTATCAGTCGCTTCGTTCACTTTGTCGGTCAATTAGTAAGACAGTTTGGTAAAGAGTCAGTCAGCATTTCAATTAGTCAACCAGTCAGTATTTTAATGAGTCAGTCAGTCAGTATTTCAATAAGGTTAGTCATTCAGTATTTCATGGAGTCAGTCAGTTAAGTATTTCAAGGTGCCAGTCAGTCAGTATTTCATTGAGTCAGTCAGCCAATCAGTCAATTTTAGTGTTAGGGATTCTTTTTGATCCGTTTGTTAGCATTTAAGTATTTCTGGGCTTGCAGACTCACATTTTTTAGAGTTGAACATATAAACATATATTAATCTTTACAAGCTCCTAAAATTTAATTATTTTCTAAGCACAAGGCTTATAGAATATCAGAAATAAAACTAAGACAATCTTTGGACTACTGTCATTTGAACTACGCATCTTATGAACTATTTAATATTTGAACAAATTGAAAATTTTCATTACAAACAGGATGTAATTTTCTGTGTAAATAATTGAGTTTATTAAAAAACTAGATGAAGTGTTCAATGTTCCCTGCGGATTTTTTTTAAAGCTACCCATGAGAGCCCACAAAAAATTTCAGCCCTTTCGGTCCAGCCGTTTGGCCGGCCAGAGTGAACATATTTATGAATTTCTTATTTTATTATATAGATTTAGTAGAAGTTCAATCAGTTAAGTACATGGAATTCACAAAAAACAATTAACTGTCGTCTTCAAATGATATTACTTAGGGTGTTCTTTGAATTTGTATGTACAGTACAGTGCATTGTACATTTAGGAGAATGTACATTTTACCTTACCTGTGTATTACAGTACAGTTCTAAAGGGTCTCCTTCTCTATGTGGATCATTTCTAAATATATTTCTATATAAATAAAAATTCAATAGTCAGCTGGAAAATCTATTCATGGAAAAACCATTAATGTTATTTTAGAGTTTTTCCCTTTAAGAACGTTTGATCGAATTATTTTCTAAAATTAGCAAACTATATTTTACAATGCATTACATCTATGTAATAAAGCTCTTTGCCTTAAAAAATTCATAACTTTTTTCTTCTTCAAAAATCGATATAAAATTTTTTAAATATATTTTTTTATTTAACGGGCAACGCCGGGCACTTTAGTTAGTTTATAAATAAACAAGGCTTTTATGGCGCTTCGCGCCCATTTTCTATTTCAATTGTGAACATGTTCTTTTTGTATACATTTCAAAACAGAAAAAAGTTTGCGGATTTCAAAAACGGATGTCGTGGATTTTCAAAATTTTAATTAAAATCAAATTTTGTTGGAGGCATTTTTTTTTGAAATTTATAATCCTTCCCTGTGGCCACGTTAGGTCCCACAAAAAATTTGGGGACGCTCGGTTCAGTCGTTTGGATGTTTATTTGATACAAACAAAAAGACAGACAAACCGACAAGCAAAGTATATTATATTAGGGTTCTATTTTAGTTGTGAACATTTTCTCTTAGTATACAATACATTGTAAAATAAAAACAAACAAAATGGCAAATTTCATTAAAAAAATCGCGGATTTTCAAAATTTAATGATCGATTTTTTGAAATTTTGATCATCCAAAACTTTCCCATGGGAGTTGGGTCATGTGAAGTCCTTAACAAAATATGGGCCCGATCGGTTCAGCCGTTTTGACGTCTATTGGATACAAACAAACAGACAAGCAAAGCATATATTTAGAGTAGACTAGGCTCTTAGAGCCGCCCATCTTCTATTTCAAATGTGAACATTTTCTCTTTGTATACATTGTAAAAAATACCAAAAAAATTTCGCGTTTTTAAAAAAAAATTTCGTGGATATTCAAAATTTTCAAAAATTTAATTTTGTTGGTGACAAATTTTTTAAATTCGATCATCTATAAACCTTCCCCGAGGTCACGCTACCCATAAAAAATCTGGGCCTGATCGGTTCAGCCTTTTTGACGTTTATTTGATACAAACAGACAGATAATATAGATATATATTCCACACTTAGAGGTGAGACATAAACCTCCCTGTATTTTTTAATTCCAATTTTTGGCTCAATTTTTACTCAGTAATATTTATTTTTAGTCTTTTTGTTCAGTAAGTTTTTCAGTCAATAAACACCAACTAAGGTAATATAGGAAATTTTCTTCTTTAATATAGAATATTGACATCGGTCAAGAATTTATTGAGAACATTTTTCACATCGGGTTTACAGGGTATTTTGAACTAACATAAAAAAGGGTGACGTTCAAAAAAAGAGAATGGATGAATAAAACCAATTGTTCACAGAAATGAAAAAATGATAGTTTTTAAAAGCGAACAATAAGAAAAAACGAACAATGTAAAATAGTTTACTAAAAAATTGATAGTTTTTTTTTTAACTGAATGAACGATCTTATTGAACGAAGGAATTTACTAAATGAACGTTTTTAATGAAATAGTGATTTTACTTAACGATCGTTCAGTGAAAAAACGAACGAAATAGATAGAAAATTAACGATAATTTTGAGAACGAACGAAAATTTTTATTTAAACGCTGAATAAAAACAGGACGAAATGATTCGTTCGCGAACGATGAACGAAAGAAATGAAAAAAAACAGAACGCACCCATCTCTAGGTACAGTAAGTAAAATTATCCCTTATATCTTTCCCCACTACACTTTGATAAACCACTAGCATAGATTACTCCTAGAATATTTTTTAAATTTTCAAATAATTACTTATATCTTTCCCCACTACACTTTGATAAACCACTAGCATAGATTACTCCTAGAATATTTTGTAAATTTTCAAATAGTTTAACAAATATGTATTTATTGTATTTGTTACTTCTTTCAGGACGATGATTCAAAATACTTTTAGTTTAAACAGTGATATAAATAGAAATTTATTGACAATTGACTTAAAGAGTCATTTTTATAATTGTCATTAATCTTATTTGGGCAAAAATTTTATAATAAAAAAGTTACCTAAACGATGAAATTGAAGCAACTGGTTTTTCGAACACTGTGATCAGGGTCTTCCTTAGTATTCGTCGGCCACGCCCATTAAATATTTGGCAAGTATACTCTCCAGACGAATTCATGGACACGCCTACCAGTTGAAGCAGACCGTCTGATCCATTAAGAAAGGTGGGCGGAGCATTGAAAGCGTGGTGGGTCCAGAATATAGTTGGTTTTGGAGAACCACTAAATAAACAAAATTAATTTATCACACTTCGGTGGAGCTGGTAGTAGTCTAAAACTGAAATCCCTGCCTGCATTTTTAAGGTGTAAAATATTTTGAAAGTTTTTTGTTGCTCAACATTAATATTAGAATATGTGAACAGTACACCAACGTCCAACAATATACACTAGGCGTTTTAAATAAATAAATAAATAAAAGATCAACCATCATTCCGTAGAAATCAAGGCCGAGACCCCTTCAAATATAACGGAAATGAATGTAGATTCTCTTTTTTAATGGCAACAAGTTTATCATGTATATAATATATATCATATATTTATTATCAATAGAAATACAACGTAAACTTTGCGGATTTTCTGTTTTCATGAATTTTTAGAAAAACAGACAAGCCAATTTTGTAAAAAGATTGAACAAACAAACAAAGAAAAAAGCAAAAAGCAATAACCCCATTATTCCGTAGAGGTCAGGGCAGAGCCTCTATCAAAAATAACAATAACAAATGCCACATAAACCAGTCTATTAAATTATCATCCCGATATTACAGAGAACAGTCAAGGGCGGACTGGAGGAAATTCATGATTTGAAATAAAAGCATCAAGGGATGAACGATACAACGAAAATAGTATTTAATTAGTGACCTGAACTGAAATACCTTTTGAAATTATTTTCTCATAAAGTGATAACCAGAAAACAATGGAATGGAAAGACGACATTATCGCGATATTTAAGCGTTTGGTTGTTGTTACAAAGCAAATATTTTTACTAGTAACTTAGCAAAGCACAATTTAAGTGAAAATGGTCTATTTTCACTGTACAATTGCTATGTTTAATGTTCATTAAACTAGTTTAAGTCCTCACTTGAGTTTAAAAGTCGTCTTCCTATTTCAGAGTTTTCTGGTCATCACTGAAAATTGATAAACACGTTATAAAAGGATTTATTAAATTCTTAGTAAGCGCTCAAAAAAGAATAGATAATCACCAACATTATTACCTTTGATTAGATGTGTAAATAAAATGCTCAAATAATTGTTTATTACGGAAAATTCGTTTTAATTGGTAAACAGTTTAAATTCCTATTCAAATTATGAATTGGACAGCGACTTAATTGTTTATTTCTTAATTACCGATAAGATACTTTTGCAATCGATCTCATTAAAAATGTATCATTTTTGATATGTAAATCTTAAAATGTGATAATAAATAAGAAATTGAAAATTTATTGCTTTTTTTCAATTTTTAGGGGGGGGTCCCAGGGGGGGCAAATATGCCCCCCCTATGATATTGACTTAGTTCGACCCTGTGAGCAGTACACGACAATACTTCATAGTACACTGCCTTAGCTGTTAACAGTACTAGTTAGTACGACCCTGAGAGCAGAACACGACAATACTTCATAGTACACTGCCTTAGCAGTAAACAGTACTACAGTTAGTCCGACCCTGAGAGCAGTACACGACAATACTTCATAGTACACTGCCTTAGCAGTAAACAGTGCTACAGTTAGTAATCTGCATTAAGTTGGCTCATTTTTTGTTCGTTATTTTTGCTTATATTTTATTTCAGGATCAGACATATCGTAAGAAAAGCGAATTATTTCATATTATTTATTTTTAACATTTTCCTTTCCAACACCATGCGAAATTTTGACCCTGACAGATAATAAATGGAAAAAACAAACCACAAACGGTCCAACATAGAACGTGTATTATAATGTATTTTCCATTCTTTTAGGATAGAATATAGCAAAGTTTAATATAGGTAAACTTTTATAACAGAAATGTGTTTATAAAAGTAAAAAACAAACATTAAGACTGACAACACTAACTACAGTAATAACTAGAAAACAATGTAACAAGAAGTCGACATTATAACAATACTGTGCATCATGCTATTGAAAGTTATAACTAAAAGTCGTCTTCCTATTTCAGAGTTTTCTTGTTCTCACTGTGTACAGTGTATCCCAAAATGTATAATACCTAGCTGAACAAGGAATGACAAGATCGCTACCAAGCTGGGGATGGTAGCTAGACTCAGGCTCATACAATAATCTAAACAATTAGGATTATAGAAATTCCAGAAAATTAATATTATTTTGGTATTATCATTATTATCATGAATGGACTCGTATACGCCTGACAACGGTACATTGGCAGATTTTAACGAAGTCATAATTTTCTTAAGTGGCAATAGGTTGGAATCAATGAAAAACAAACAAACATTTCTATAGTTTAAATTCCCACTGTGCATTTTTGATGACGCGTACCGTTTTGTCAGACGACTGAATGTCTCATTCAAATTATTTATTCTGTACTTTCTCAAAATTGTACTTTCATAACAAGAAATTGCTTCAGTGGTAAGTACGCAAAAACATTAAGCACTAAAAATCGAGTACTATTTTAACAATAACACTATCTAAACTTAATCTAAAAAAGCGCTTTGTAGTTTTTAACTGTATAATGTTTATGTCTAGTAGCGTGCCCAGTTTTCAGTCCGACTTTCCGTAAATAACTCTCAGGCTAATATTGTTCTCTATTTAAATATTTCTTGAATTTGGTATGTCATATATCACTTTCTTCGTAATTGTCTAAAAAAAATAAAATCCATTGAAATTTTTGAAAAATTTCAAAAATGGACTGCATTGACTCCAAAAATATATTTTTCTTCTTAAAAACTATCAATTTTTACGTGTTTTTTTTTTTGTCTAATTCAGTCAACTTTTGAAATTTTCAAAAAGTTTCAATGGATTTAAGCTTAAAAAATGCTAGCTTTAAAGAGAAGTTGATTTTTTGGAGGTTTTTTAACCTAAGGCAGTCAATTTTTAAATTGTTTTAAAAATTTCGATGGATTTAATCTTTTTAGACAATTACGAATAAAATGATATATGACATGATAAATTCAAGAAATATTTTTTTGAGCTATGTAGACTTTATTTGCGATCTGCACGGGCCTTGCACGACCAATTCCCACAGGTTAAAAAAAATATCCTGTGAAAACTGACACCATAGAGAACAGTATTAGCCTTGAGAATTTTTTGTGACAAAATGTTTCTATATTTTGTTGCAAAATAGTGCACACTAAATTGTCTAGAGCCATATAAAAATATATATAGATTAGTGAGGTAAACCTCAAGGCCAAGGCCGAGACTGTTTAAAAATTTGTTGACTAAGTTTCAGAGTTGTCTATATCTCAGTGTAAACGGTCCCACTCTTAACATTTGAGCTCTCCCTTTAAAATTATCATTAATTTAATATTATTTGTGGTTTTATACTTTAAAAGCTTAGTTTCACAATTTAAATACATTGGCAGGTGTCCCTACCTTGGTTTATGTAGTTCATCAGCTGACTGTACTGTAAGATTGTGTACACTAGGCGACAGTACAGATTCACCTTAATGAAGTACAGTAAGTACATAATCTAAGTTTTCAGTGTATTTTATTCAATATAAAAAAAAATTAAAAACGTTATCATTGTTACCCAGATAAAAAGTAAAGGAGTTTGAACAGTTAATGTTATGGATGGTAACTTGAAGTTAAGTCTAAGACCTGGCCCTTTAATATGGCTATTTTATGAGATAGAATTGTGTTAAAATTAAGAGATTAGTAAAATCTGGCCATAGGCATTCTTGGAGGAGTTTTGTGACATATTCTATAACAGGTTGGATAATCTCATTAAAATACAATGGAAAACAGATGTCTCCTTTCCATAGACTATACATTTTAATGGATATGCATGCACAACCATAAAAAAGTCAATAATGTGAAATAAATTGTAGCTTAAAAGTGCTTAATTCTGACAATTCCTGTATATTTTCCTCTAAAATATTCTCCATAGATACATGTATATTATCCATAGACACAATGTTTCGTCCTAAAAGGACTCATCAGTACGTCTGAATTTTTTATCAGTTGTTGATTTTTGCAGTTGACGGGGCTTGAACCATGAATCCTTAGATTATGGATTTCTTGCAACTGTAAACTTGTTTCTTTCTTTGTCAATCTATTAAATACGCCATTGTTCCTAAACTTTAGAGAGGGGGGCACTACTTCTAGCCCCCCCCCTTTTATTACCTGTTAGATGATTTGAAGCTTGGCAAGCATATGTCCCTGCATCAGACTGAGATATATTCCGAATAAATAAATTCTTGTTGCTGATCAGTTCATATTTATCGGTCAAATTCAAAAGCTTGGTCTCCTGAAAAAAATAAAGTTATAACAACTAGATGATATCTCCACTTGAATGTTAGCTTAAAGGATAGAGGACTTGTGGCGTAATCAGGAATTTGTTCGAGGGGGGGGGGAGCTCATCTACATTCCCCCCGAAAATCATTGATTTGATTTCTGCAAAATAATATCATTCGCAAAAAATGGATATTGACACATAAATTGGTTCTAGGCGGCCCACACAGTTTTCGGTATCTTAAAAGAAAAACAATAATTGACATTTTTTTAGTGGTTTAAAAAGATTCTAAATATGAATCACCCTGTGCTGTGCTTTTAGTAATTTTATAATAAAATAAAGATCTAATAAAAAGTACTAATATTTTTCTCGGATATTGATAAATACTAGTCCCAGGAGAATAATAGGAAAAAAGTCCAATTATTAATCTATCTTTGAGCATTTGTTATTTCAGATAAAACTCTTCTCCCACAAAAGATGGCGGAGATAAGGGTTTAAAATACAAGCTACAATCTTGTTATAATGGTTTACTAACCTTTTTTTATTATTATTCAAAGGCAACCCATGTTATTCAATAAAATGATGGGTGGAGGATCAAGGGGTGTACAGGGAAGGATATTGTTTACCTTAAACCATTCCATGATGGGAGGAGAATCAAGGGGTGTACGGGGAGGATGATGGGAGGAGGATCAAGGGGTGTACTAGGGAGGATATTGTTTACCATAAACTATTGGATGATGGGTGGAACAGGGGAGGATATTGTTTACCTAAAACTTTTGGATGGTGGGCGGAGGATCAAGGGGTGTACAGGTGAGGATATTGTTTACCTTAAACCATTGAATGATGGGAAGAGGATCACTAGCAGGTGGTGTACAGGGGAGGATACTGTTTACCTTAAACCATTGAATGATGGGAGGAGGATCACTAGCAGGTGGTGTACAGTGGAGGATATTGTTTACCTTAAACCATTGAATGATGGGAGGAGGATCACTAGCAGGTGGTGTACAGGTGAGGAGAATATTATTTCCTTCATTACCTTCCACTTCATTACTTTCCACTGTATTAGGGAATCTGAATAAAGTTCGAATAAATACATTTTCCTAAAAGTTACGTAATCTTTTTAACATATTCTTGAATATAAACTAACCTATCTAGATATGCTACGGTTAGCTGTGCTGGGTTAGACATCAAGAGCATATTTTCGAACCCTCCAACACATTGGTAACTACCAGTCTGTCTTTCCCTAGAAAAATAAAATTTTTTTTTCTATTTTCTGAAATGTAGAGACCTTACAGGGTCAGTAAACGTAATTTCAAGTGACCCTCTATTTGGAGATTGGCACACTACCTTTACAGCTTTGTCTTATCTAGTAAAAACTAGATATTCAAGTCCACAATATTGAAAATTGATTATTTTAAATTGTGGGTTCTCTGCAAAAATAACTTTGGGTTTTCTACAGCTGGAAAACAATCCAGAGATTAACATATTTAAACACTTTTCCAACTAGCTTGCCCAGGCGTAACATTCTTTTTTAAATATATTTAATATTTTGTAATCTGACAAAACTTTTTTGAAATATTAATAAATTAATTTTGTTATTTTCTGGTGCAATTGATTAGTTTTAATTAGGTTTCTATAATTGTACAGAATATATTGGATATGGTACCAAGTTACCAACTGATTAAAAACTCCTTTCCTGAAACCAAGCGCACTGCGCAGTGTGTTGTTTACCTCCTTTAAAGGGATTGTACACAAATTACTAAATTCACACAAAACCCCAAATTATAGACTAAAAAACACAGCTAAGCAAACCTTATCGAATAAAGTTAGCTCTAATGGTTCCTATATAAATAACCAAATACGTTTTTCCCTTTCAGTTAGGTGCAAACTAATAGACAAATTTTCAGTATTATTTAATAATAACATTATTAAATATGTTTCAGAAAATGTTCCCAATTTAAAAACTTAAAACTTCGTGATAAAATTACCAAGACTGAGAAACTTATCATTCCGTGAATTTGATGCACTCCTTAAAGGGACTGTAAGCGTAATTTCAAGCAATGCTCAATTCAAAACCGTACCCTTGAAACATTAATCTGATCAAGTATGAAAGTTGTAAATGCCCTACTTCCTGAAGGGTTCTCCAACACGTATCTATGCAGGTACAATTCAGTTTCACTTAGTTATCAATGCTAAACCCAGAAACAATCTCATTAACTATCAATGTCAAGCAGACACTAGCTCGTTTTCTATCAACGCCAAACCAATGGGCTCAATCTCGTCAGCTATCGATGTCAACACGGACACTAGCTATTAATCAATCAATGCCAAACCAATGGGCATGCTCTCCACTCGAATGTTTCAACGAGAACCAATTACTCTATCGGAGTTTCTATATCAACTAATGTATATGAGTCAATACGTTACAAGTTAAAGTTGATACACGTATTAACAATTCCTACATTTTTATCTATATCCCATGATGTAGATAATCATGTAACGTATTTACAGCAAAGTTAAACTAGAAGCAATTAAGATGTACGTCATTAGATATTACATGATTAAACTAATCATGCTACGTATTCATTTGAAGCGAAGGTCAAAAAATAATGGGTTTGACATGGAAGTTTACAAACATAGATAGTTATAATGTACAACGTAGTTAAAGTTTACAGATATCATGATGCACGATATTTATTAAACGAATTAGATATCCATGTTTTGTTTCTTTGAATTGTTTATTCATTTTGTGGTTTCCCTGGAAATGCAACTTGCGCATTTTTTGCTAAAAGAAATATTGGAGAAATTAAACAGTTTTCGAGTCTGGAAAAACGACATATTTGCCAAATGTTTTATCAGATTCAGGTATCAATGGTACTCTTGTAATTCGGGCATTGCTATATTTGCAAAGAGGGTCACTTAACATTACGCGTACAGTCCCTTTAACAGCTTCCAGCTAAGTGCTCCAATTACAAAGACGGAGAAATAAATCATTCCGTGAATTTGTTAAACTCGTTAAACCTTTAATTATTCTAATTACACTTCTTGATAAATCTTCAGAGGTAAACATTGCATCCTTGTTTTCCCTAATGGACAATTATTTCTATTTCTCAACTAACTATTTCCTACAGAATCTCTATACCCAGCCTTTAAACATTTATCTCAGTATCAAACATAGAAATTTATTCATTTAAAAATAAAATCTAATTATTTCCGCCTGGTTTTTTTTGCCGAAGCATTCAAGGATTCAGACTAAGAAATCTGTCTAACTCCGAATGGAAAAACTGTGGCCCCTACTTTATATGTGACTATCGATGAAATTGTCATAGTTGAATGCCCGATTTAGAATAGTATCTTTTAAAAATTTATGTACCTATTTAAAGGGTATTATTTTGAGATATACAAGCATTTTTTTAATATACTCGAAATTACGGCAAAAATCTCTTTAATATACTGGAACACAGGAAAATATCTGATTAAGAGTGAAATAACAAGTTCGTTGCCATATTTATTAAATTAAGGTAAATGGGGTTTTGTTACTAATCACGTGAATTTAATTTCTGAATAAGCTGCTACCTGTGTCTCTTGGCCGTACGTATTTTAATAGAGAGTTGACCGTTGGATATCCTCACATCTGACCGCTTGGAAGGATCCAGCTGATGACCGTTGTGCAACCAATAGATTTCTTCATCTTAAAAAAGATTACAATTCTCATTTCTTTCTAACTTGGTTTTCAGAAATATAATTTACTTTTTCCTATAATATTAGGTTGCGGTTTTTTACAGAGAATGCAATTGATTCTTGTAATAATAATAAAATATCCCTGTCCCTGGCATATCCAAAATGGTGGCATGTGCCTTTCTCCACATTCCAAATAACTTCAGAATTTTTTTTAATTTCCTTTCTCTAAATTAACCTTTAATGTCTAAGAAACAAATTAAGCTAGGACAATGCCCAAATGGTTATTATTTTTATCTTCATTATCATTTCTAAGCTTTTAGGGCGTTTTGCGCTCATATTCTGTTTAATTTGAGAACATTTTCTCTTAGTGTACATTGTAAAACAAAAGTCCTACCTTGACCTGTATTGGTTCTACAGTTGAAGAAAACCCTGTCCCCTGGAGGAACAACTCTAGACTCAGGTTCCCTTGTGAATCTGATACCTATCGTTAAAGAAGTATTAGTATTTTTAGAATTATTATTGGTATTATTATTAGTAATTATCAGAAAAGTATTGTGTTATTCTAATCATTATCAAAACCAAAATCTATTTAAATTATATATCGCAGTTCCTGAATGGTGATATAATATGATTTCAGAACCTGAATATTTTATTAATATTTACAAGACTAGAAATTACGAAAATGGTGAAAATATCAAATGCACTTGTCAACATAAAACCTTTGATGCGAAACCCTAGAAAAGTGTATGATGTATACATTATCTCAAAGCTTTAAGCTTAAACGAATTGATATTATATTGAATAAATAAATTTATTACTGAGCCTTTGTTTCCTTATTTTTTCAACTCACATTATGAATTTTAATTTCACTACGCATTCAGAATTTAAAATAAATGAGAAAACCATATTTTACATCTATAATGGCAAAGCTCTTTTTGAACACATAAGACCCATAAAATAGTAGAAAAGGAAGACGACATTTCAGCAAGTTGGTTTGCCATTTTCTGTCGTTTATAAGAAAATAGTTTTACCAGAAGCTTGAAAATCAACTTTAAGATTGCACAATTTTGTTTTTTAAGTTTGTTGGATTATTCAAAATAACATTTTAATTCGTTTTCTATTCCCTTGAGAAATCTACAGCTTGATACCTAGCAAGATGGGGAGTCTGTTCTTGTAATTTTTGAAATTTGGAAGAAACCGATTTTTGTTTCAAAACTCAATACCACCCTTATTACAAATGCCATACAAATTATACCACTATTAGGAACCAGTTAACCTTCTTTACAGTTTTATGAAGGAATCAGTTAACCTTCTTTACAATTTAAGTTTAACTCATTAATAAATCCTTGCCAGTTTAATGAAGGAATCGGTTAACCTTTTTGCCAGTTTAAGTTTAACTCACGACGGAATCGGTTATCTCCCTGCCAGATTAATGAAGGAATCGGTTAACCTTTTTGCCAGTATAAATTTAACTCATGACGTAATCAGTTATTCTCCCTGCCAGTTTAATAAGGGAATCGGTTAACCTTCTTGACAGTATAAGTTTAATTCATGACGTGATCGGTTAATCTCCCTGCCAGTTTAATGAAGGAATCGGTTAACCTTCTTGACAGTATAAGTTTAATTCATGACGTGATCGGTTAATCTCCCTGCCAGTTTAATGAAGGAATCGGTTAATCTTCCTGCCAGTTTAAGGAATAATTGTGTTAACCTTCCTGCCAGTTTAAGAAATAATCGTTTAACCTTCTTGCCAGTATAAGTTTAACTCATGACGTAATCGGTTAATCTTCCTGCCAGTTTAATGAAGGAATCGGTTAATCTTCCTGCCAGTTTAAGAAAACGGTAAATCTTCGTCATGATGTCTATTACTTAGGGTTTATTTTTCATTGATTAACATTTTCCTGGTCTATATCTGTCAAGGTTTATGAAATATTAAAAAAATAGAAACGTTATCTTAATCCATCAATCAATTCACAGAATTCAGGAATCTTTTCCGGTGCAAAAAAAATTCTTTAAGGTTAAAACAGATGAATATCTACAGAACTGTTCAGCTGTTCTCTATTTCTGAATTTTAAGTTACCCTTTTCTAAAAATTTGCTATGCATAGTTAAAGGTCTACAAGTGCATTAAGCTGTCTCTTAAACTAATTAAAGGGATGCCTGTTATGTCACTTTTTAAAAGAAGGATCTTGAGAAATTACGTAAACAATCTTAGTTCTTTGTGTCTGGCTCTAGAAATAGGTTTATCAGGGGCTGGGTTTACATCTAGGTTTAGATTTAGGTATATATTTAGATTTAGCTGGATCTAGGTTTAGGTTTAGAGTATTGATTGAATCTGAGTTCCTCCTGTGATATATTAATGTGTTCTGGCATACAACAAATATTCTGCAGAAATCCTGAAAAATAATAATTCGATCAAAATCAAGAAAAAAAAAAGAAAAACAGGTAGAAAAAGAAGAAGAAAACATTTGAAAAAGAAGAAGAACAGGTAGAAAAAGGTAGAAAAACATTATTTGACTAGACACTATAAACGTATTAAACCCAATAAAAGAGTTGCATGTCCAATTGACTGAGCCACAATGAGGATTATTAAGTCGTTTTTTTTCTTTCATAAAATAAAGAGTGAATTTTGTTAATTTCCTTATTTATAGTTTTCCCTGCATAAATCCGCAATTTACACAGAAAAAACATAGAAACCTTTATTTTTTATCCTCAGACGAAGGTGTTAGCCTTAGGGTTACTGTGAATCGGACATGCAACTATTTATATGTAGGGTTACTTAAAATTACATCTTTAATCCTTATATAATATTCTAGAATGATAAGATCCCTTTAGGCACATTTATATTTTATTCGTTCAATCCTGATCCCTTTGAACAATTTATAAGTAAAAATATATTAAGAACTATTAATAAAAGGAATGTGAAAAGGACCAGTAATGGACCACCCCACTCCCCTTTATAACTATACCTACCAAGGGAATGTTTGTGCCTGCCCTGTGTTTCTACAGATTCTATGACTTGAACTGGTCTACAAAAAAATACGATACAAAAAAGAATACTTTAAAACAAGTACAAGTACAAGTACAAGTACAAGTACAAGTACAAGTAATTTTCATGCTAATATTTCTTACTGGAGCCAAATGTTCAGAATTATAATAATTAATTGATTATTATGAATTCAATTATATCTACCTAAACTGAAGCTTTTTAGCCACATTTTCATGAGTTTTTAACAGATGTACTCTAGAAAGAAAAGATTAACTGGATTTTATAACTGCATTTGTTGAAAAGTTAAGTATTAATTGTATTTTCAATAAATTGTTTCAATGTTTCAAAATAAAATATAATATAATGAAGAAAATGAAGGAAAATAAATGAAAATAGTGAGTTGACAATTTAGCAGAAAAACAGTTTTAATAATTTATGATTCAAGATGAAGGATATTTACTTTTAGACGATTTCAAGACGGAGGATTTCAAGACGGAGGATTTTAAGACGGAGGATTTAAAGATGGAGTATTTCAAAATGGAGGATTTCAATATGGAGTATTTCAAGTTGGAGGATTTCAAGATGGAAGATTTCAAAATGGAGGATTTCAAAATGGAGGATTTCAATATGGAGTATTTCAAGTTGGAGGATGGTAAGGAACCCCGTGAATGAAGCTAGACCTCCTCTACTAGAAGATAGGAAAGCCAAGATGAAAAGAGCTAGATCTCCATCCATCACTTCCTCCCCTATTCCCCAGCTTGATGGGATATGTACACCATCAACACCTAACACCAATCTTCCTTCCAGGCCTAAGGTTACTAAGGAATCTGATCCTGAGTCAGCGCCTGAACCTGAACTTGATCCTGAGTCTGCGCCTGAACCTGAACCTGAACCTGAGACTGAGTCTGCGCCTGAACCAGAACCTGATTCTGAGTCTGCCCCTGAACCTGAACCTGAGGCTGAGTCTGCGCCTGAACCTGAACCTGAGACTGAGTCTGCGCCTGAACCTGAACTTGAGACTGAAGCTGGTCCAGAATCTGAAACTGAACTTGAAATCGAACTAAAACCACCTGTGAACATTGCAAACCCAGTTTTTACTTTCTGTGAAGAAAAAGATTGTACAGTTTGCCCAGTTAGACACAACGCAATTAGAGCATATGAAAAAGTAGACAACCAAATTAAATATCAGTTGGTTAATAACTACAGGAAGTTCTGTTGTTTCTCAGCAATGGATGACGAGGGAGTCAGCTGCGAAATATTGCACTGGCATTCAAAGTCTAATCTGTGTCTATCATATGAATCATTTATATAGAAAATAAATAATGTAGTTTTTCCATTTATGTAATATCTTAATCTCTGCTACAAAATAAATATTTAGATCTAAAAAGTTGGAGGATTTCAAGATGGAAGATTTCAAAATGGAGGATTTCAAGATGGAGGATTTCAAGATGGAGAATCTCAAGATGGAGGATTTTAAGATGGAATATTTCAAGATGAAGGATTTCAAGATGGAGGATTTCAAGATGGAGGATTTCAAGGTGGAGGATTTCAAGGTGGAGGATTTCAAGACGGAGGATTTCAAGACGGAGGATTTCAAGATAGAATATTTTAAGATGGATGATTTCAAGATGGAGGATTTCAAGATTAAGGATTTCGATATCTGGAGAATTAAAAGATGGAGGATTTCAAGGTGGAGAATTTCAAGATGAAGAATTTCAAAATGGATGATTTCAAGATGGAGGATTTCATGTTGGAGGATTTCAAGATGGAGGATTTCAAGATGGAGGATTTCAAGATGGAGGATTTAAAGATTGAAGATTTTAAGATGAAGAATTTCAAGATGGAGGATTTCAAGATAGAGGATTTTAAGATGGATGATTTCAAGATGGAGGATTTCAAGACGGAGGATTTCAAGATAAAGGATTTCAAGATGAAGGATTTCAAGATGAAGGATTTCAAGAGCTGGAGAATTTCAAGATGGATGATTTCAAGATGAAGGGTTTCAAGATGGAGGGTTTCATGATGGTGGATTTAAAAATGAAGTTTTTCAAGATGGAAGATTTTTAGATGGAGGATTTCAGTTTCGATACAGATGATTTCAAGATGGAGGCTTACATATTGAAGGATTTCAAGATTTTAAGATGCCAAAATAGAATACTAGAACTGACGGTTACTGATAGATGATTATGCAATATGCTATGCTTCTAACAAAAAATAGAAAAAAACTTTCCTTTCTGACTTAACTCCAAATGGAAGTTTCTGACAAATAATAATAAATAAGTTAATCTGCCTGAGAGAAATGAATGACTCGTATTTGTAACTATTCTCTCCACAGAGGTAGCAGATCAGCTGATTGGACGGAGTGGTCAGCCTGTACTCCTCACGACCTGGTAAATCAGGTCCATATATCAATTTGAAATTACTCGTTTATGGGGTGGCTCTAAACACTCTCCCTTTGATTTCATTCAACCCCCCTTCCCTTTTTTCATCCCTTTCCCTCCTTTTGGGTCTTTG